TGAACCTTTACAATCAAGGCATACAACGGTTATGTTTTCAAAGAAAATTTTATAATCTGAAAAACAATCAAGGCGACAATGCTTGGATATTTTAATTTTAATGGGGACATATTAAAACGCAGTCTATACAACAAATTTTTCATAAATGTTATCTTTCTGTCTTTCTTTATTCAGTTTCAAATGCCTTACAATAAAAGTTGCATTTACATAAATAGACAAAACATCATTCAATTAATGATAAATTCAATCAACGAATGAACAGTAAGGTATTGTGAACATGCTGTACAATAAGCTTACTGCCTATACAGTCAATAAAATACATTTATGCACTTGTCAATTGTAGTCCCTCCCCCTACGCACCTGGGCCATAGCTGGGTACTAAACAGGACTGAGCCAGGGTTGTGTCCCTGTGTGCCTGGAAAAAAAAAAATTCACCCGTAGATATAAGATAACCGACCTCGTAAGGGCCAGAAATTTGACACATTAGATTAGCCGGGGTAGTACTGTCAAACCGGGTAGTCCAACCTAGCCAGGTTGTCCATTACAGATTTGATCAAATTTTATACAATGCTGTTTTTTATTTTTGCGAGGGGGGAGGGGGAGTACAGAGGGATGGGTGTAGGTTAACGGGCAAACGAACGGACGACATAAAGAAGCCCTACTTTAGTACACAGGACTGTGTTTCATATAGTAGAAATCCGGATCTTGACATATGCCCCGTAGGTCTCAGTGGTCTAATGGGTTTTATATTCGCATTGCAGTTTTGAATCCCTCCAGAGATACTTTTCCATACAACTGAAATAGAGAAACCTAGAACATTCATGAGCTATGATTTATACAATTATTTAATTTAATTTTTTTTTTTTTTTAATGTTGATGCACCAACATTGTGCTGAAATAACTATTAAATATTATTATTTGAATTTGATTAAAGATTATAGTAAAGTACTTACGTGTCTTTTATTTCATCTGACTGTGACTTCACATATGTAATATCCAACTGTAAAGAAAAATAAAACAGAAATTTAAAAATCAACAAAAAAATTTGATCAAT